ATTCAAGAATATTGTGCTGTCCCCAGCCCGCTCCGCCTTGCGGGGGCCAGGGGCCTGGCGACGAGGAGGCACCAGCCCCGCCGCCCGCGCCTGCCCAGGAGCCGCCCGCTCCAGCAGGCCGCGCGCTCCCAGAGAAGCCTTCGCCTCACGCCGACTTGGCCCGCGGGCCTCACGCCGACTTGGCGGTGTGTGTGTGTGTGTGTGGGTGTGCCTGTGTGTGTGTGTGTGTGTGTGTGTGTGTGTGTGTGTGTGTGTGTGTGTGTGTGTGTGTGTGTGTGTGTGTGTGTGTGTGTGTGTGTGGGGGGGGGGCGTGTGTGTTGTGTGCTGTGTGCTGTGTGCTGTGTTTGGCGTGTATGTGTTGTGTGCTGTGTGTTGTGTGTTGTGTGTTGTGTGTTGTGTGCTGTGCTGTGCTGTGCTGTGCTGTGCTGTGCTGTGCTGTGCTGTGCTGTGCTGTGCTGTGCTGTGCTGTGCTGTGTGCGTGCGTGCGTGCGTGCGTGCGTGTGTGTATGTGTGTCGGCGCGCGTGCACTGGCCTAGGTATCGGTCCGTGCTTGTTTCGCCTCGTCGCTGCACGTATTACCACGACCGCCAAAAGTGCGTGCGTGTGTGTGCGTGTGTCTGTTTGTCTGTGTGTGTGTGCGTGTGTGTGGACTCTCTACGCCTGAGCCCTCCCCCTGCGTTCACTCTCCGCGGCCGCCCTCTTCATTTCCCTCTGTGCAGTGTGCCCTAGCCGCGGGGGGGCAGGTCGCTTTCGACCGCGTCGCGCTCGTCCTCGCTCGCCCTCGCTTGTATGTGCCGGGGGGGTCTGTGGTTCTTGGACTCCGCGTCCCAGAGCCCCGTGAGGCTCTCGAGCCCAGCCACCTGACGCAGACCGCGCTCCCGCGCTTGTACCCCTCCAGAGCCCGCCGCGGGCGCTGCCCGCGCTCCCGCGGGGCTCTCCAGGGGGGGGGGGGGCTGGCCCCAGGTGCCCCCAGGATTTCCAAGGAGGCCCCCCCCCCACGGCCTCCAGAGCACCCCTCACGAGGCCCAGGGGGCCCCAGGGACTTCAAAATTAAACGAAAAGCTGGGGACACCGCACCTTCAGCAACCCCCGAGGAGGGGGGGGCAGGGGGAAATCCAGCTGTGCAAGACGAGCCCAGGACTGGGACAAGGTCGGACCAGGGCAGATCGGGGACCTCTGAGACCCCGCAAGTCCATAGAGAGCGTATCGGGCGCCGCGGCCGTTGCAGAGCGCTACGGGACGCTCTGAGAACGTCCAGGATGCTCTGGGATGATTTATCCCCGTCCCGGCCCTGAGCTGTGTATGGGGCTCCTTCCGCCTGGAGGCCCTGGAGCGCAGCCGGATTGGCGCCGAGCCTCCTCCCACAGGAGGCAACTCCCGGGAGGCCATCGCGAGAACGATTCAGGGCTGTCAGCCCCGACATCCGAATACTTTTTCAATCTGCAGCCCCAGACGTTCCGACCGCTTCCCTGGAGATAGTTTTGCTCGCCCCACATTTATTTATGATGCCTGCCATGGGGCCAAGCAACGGCCCCCCTAGGGCCGAAATCGATGAACAACTGCCAGTTGAAAAGATCAGATCGTCGGACATCTGGGAAGCCGCCCGATTATGAGGGGCAGCGGTAGGGGGGATTGTCTCAGAGGGGAATCTTCGACTCGAAAGCGGCGACGCATCGCGCATAGATCGGGGGCAAGCTTTCCACCTGATGGGTCTGCCCCTCGCGGTGGATGACCTCACGCAGTGCATGCAGCGCCTGATGATCCCCTCGGAGGGGTCCCGTGGCCGGAGCATGCCGTGGGCTCGCCAACAACAGGCAACCGCGCAGCCGAGAAAGCGGTTGCACTCGACGCAGGCGGCCTGCCGGCGCGGCACGCCCTCTCAGAGTGGGCCTCGGGATGCGAGGCCGTGTTGGCGCACGCGGCCTGGCCATGTTTTCCTCAGCAAATGGCCGCCTTTCGCCAATTGGAGAGCCTTCGGCTGGCTGCCGACGGGGCCAGCGACCGTAACAAGGAGGCCCGCTTGGCAACAGTCAAGAAATTCTACAGGGAGGCCTCTGCCAGTGCGGCGGGCATGCTCCGCCGCTCGACGCAGGCGGACCCGCAGCCGCCAGCAGCAGCGCGGGCCGAACGGTGCCACGCCCATGCCCCTGGACGCCTGCGAGGCTCAGCGCGCAGGTTGGGGCGTGATATGGCTGGTGGATGGCCCCATCCAGGAAGCCATCAGGCCCTGGCCGGACGGCGGCGTTGATGAGGACACAGCGCTGCCTCCCCCCCCCCCACCGTCGCCGACAACATCCGTGCGGCTGGCATGCGCTTCAAGACCCGGACGGGTCTGGGCATCGACACGGTGAACTCCTGCATGGGCAGTCCAGCGTGAAATGTCGGGAGTCGGTGGCTGGCCTCCTGACTGCAACCGAGGCCACCCCGGCGTGGCCTGAGCAGAAAGGGAGCGCATCCGCTACCTGCAGATAGCAGCCCAATACCGCTCATCCCTGGAGGCGGAGTCGCTTGCACCCGGCGACGGGGCGCGCGATCCAGGACGCGCCGCCGTTCTGCTTGACCCCGTGAAGTGTTTCGAGTGTGTCTCTGGTTGCACCGTGTGTGGCGATGGAGGTTGTACTGGCAGGTGCCTCGACGTCTCCTCCGCCTCCTCTGCGTCACAAACTCCATGGCGCGGCGGATCCTCTACAGTGGCTCCATCGGCACGGCAAATGAGACGATCACTGCCATCGTCCCTGGTTCGGTGTTTGCTATCGCCGCCCTACGCATGGTGATGTTGCACCCGTGTGTTGTGCCTGGCGGAGGGCGAGGAGATCGTGGGAGACGCCCGGCATCGCCTCGGGACCTGCTGGTGCCTCCGCGTGAACGCCAGGCCCTCCCAGCCACCTGGCAGCACCAGATCGCGTCCTCGCGGAACCGCTAGCTTTGGGATCGAGGGCTTGCGCTGGACCCCTCGCAGCGCTACGCATTTCGAGCGCAAGAAGAGGACGCACGATGGTTGCTGAGCGACGGCGCTCAGGCCGTGTTCACGGGCGCGTCCAATGGCAGCCGCATTGGGTCGTGGCGGGATTTGGGCCGCGCTGGAGTGGCCGCCGCGCAGACGGCAGACGATAGCCTCGACGTGGCAATGGTGGCTTGGGGCCCGCTTCCGGTCGACCTGCCGGTGCATCGCTACATAGCTCGTGCCGAATTGTTCGCCGTCCTCATGGTCCTCCGGGCGTGCGTGCCTCCCCTCAGGCTCCACGTCGACTGTGCTCTCATCCTGAAGGGGATCGAGGCTGGATGTCTGTGGCCCACATACTCCAGACGCCCCCATGCTGATGTATGGCGGCTCATATGGCACCGCATTGACGATATTCGGCTTGGGCCTGATGGAGTATCCTTTCTAAAATGCTACAAGGTCAAAGCGCACGTGGCCAAATCCAGGGTTGCCGAGGCGGATGCCGCCACACAACGCATTCTGATAGCGAGCGGACACGCTGACACCTGGGCCAAGGAGGCAGCCACGAGCGGAATCAACGAGCTCCTGCAGTACGTTGACCAGGCGGTGTCCGAGAACGCGGCGAGGATCACGGGCGCCTTGGACCACATCGCGGGCCTCGCCGAAGCCGTGCTCCCCGGGCGCGCCAGTTGGCCTGATGTGGCTGCTCCTCCGAAGGTGGAGCCGAAGGCGCCCAGTCTGCAGCCAGAGGCCCCTCCAGGCCCCACCAGTGGGAGACGAAAACCTTCGGCCAGCAATGTGATGCCTGCCGCCGAGTGGCGCGCACGGAGGGTCGCAGAGCAACCCTTGACCGGGAGCCCTGCAACCGCCATGCAATTACGCGCCTGATGATCGACGACCTCGGCCCGTACGTGACGGTGAAGGGCCACAGGCTGTGGCAAACCGTGAATTACATTTGGTACGCCCGGTGCGGCAACCACACCAATGTGCGCGTCAAGGGGTTGGCCAGCAATTGCCACGGCGGCATTGCTGCTTCAGCCCACGGCACCGCCTCCCGCCGAGCCAATCTCGCGGCTGGGCGTGCCCCGAGGGCACGAGTTTCGGCAGCACCCATTGGCCGCCCCACCCGGCTCACTCTGCGGCAGTGGTTTGGGTGGAAGGGCCTGCTGGCTGCCGACGGGGACCCAGACGCCGAGGCCGTCTGCGAGGCCTGGGCTACGGACGCCGTTCACGGCGGTAGCTCCGAGGGGGAAATCTGACCGGCTGGAGACTGGGCAGCGCGCGCATTGCGCGACACATCGTGCCCAAAACAGCCGCTGGAAGGCACCCCGAGGACGCCCGGAAACCACTAATCTCGATTCGCGATCGGGGGTCGATGCATCCCCTGCGCCTATCCCTCCGTACCGTTGCCCCCGAGATTAGGGGCACTTACAGCTCGGGCGGGTGGTGCTGGGGAGTAGCATAAGGGGGCCCTTCAGGAACACAAAATTTTGAGCGCCCAAACAGGGGCCCTAAAGAGCCCCTCTAGGTCCCTTCTCTCCACCTCACTTTGTAGGCCACCCAACCCTTACCTGAGGGGCAACGATAGGGGGGATAGGCATAGGGGGGGATGCATCGATTTGAAATCGGCGATACATCGCCGATAGACCGGCGACATGCCTCCGATCGTGAATCCGCCTCTTCCCTGGCAGGCTGGGGCTATCGGGCCCCTATCGGCGATCAATGGCGATTGGGGGTCGATGCATCCCCCCCTGTGCCCGTCCCCCCCCGATCGTTGCCCCTGATGGCCACCCGCCCGATCAGCCCTGGCCGCGCCAGTCTCCGGGCTCCGCCCCGCCCCTCGGCCGTGCCGCGCGCTCGCTCCCCCGCGGCGGGCCCCGGCCCGCCGGCCCACGCAGGCCTCCGACGAGGGCCTCCGACAGCGGCCTCCGCCGGCCTCCGAGGACGGCCTCCGACGACGAGGGCCTCCGGAGGCCGCTCCGGAGCAGGCCTCCGCGGGAGGCCTCCGCGGGAGGCCTCCGACGAGGGCCTCCGACGAGGGCCTCGCGCGAGGCGGCTCCTGGCCGAGCGGCGGCGGCGGCTGGCCGCGCTTGCCCTCGGCCGCGGCGCCCGCGCCCGAGGCCTCCTGGTGGGGAAGGCGCGGGACTCGGGGGTGCGGGGACCTCGGGCGCGAGAACGGCGCCCGTGCTTGGAGGCGGCAACTCATGGGAGCAGACCATGCCATGTTGTTGGCCCTTGCGCATCGACGCTGGTCGACGCTGGTCGACGCTACACCGACACACAACAACGCTGTATCGATGCTATCTCATAGATGATCAGACGCTGATCGGCGCTAGTTGGCGGCGCGCACCAGGGGGTGGAGGGAGGGGGGACGGTTTCTTAGAAGCAAGCTGCTTCTCAGAAGGCGCCGGCCATACATCTATAGATGAGGCCCGTGCTATGTAAGAAAACCGTCCCCGCTCCCCCGAACCAAACCCCCCCTCTGCGCGTAGCCGACGGGCACCGTAACATGTTTGGACTCCCGTCAGGCCCCGCTCGAACGCAGTACGGTGCATGGCTTGTCGTCCCTATAACTGCCGAGAAACTGTGCATCGTACCATTCCTGAGTCGCATATCGACGCCGCCTCGGGAGACGCCAACGCGGTACGATGCACACATGTCGTCCGCGGATCGGGCTGGCCCGACGGAGCCGCCAGGAAAAAATGACGAGGCCCAGTCTGAGATCTCAAGCGAGCTCCCGCTGCAGACGTCCCACGAAAACTGGACCAATCAGAATTCGGGACTGGCCCGCCGGAGAGCGTGGGCAAACCCAAGCTCCGGCAAACTCGAGCATTGCTCTGCCCCTATCCTTGGGCGGCTCGCCGAGGCCTGGGAGCAGCAGCCCGCACGCCAGCACCTCCGCGGTGGCCGCCGCCTGCGGCAGCGCTCGTCGCCGCCGCCACCGCCGCCTCCTCGGCCTCCTGCCGCTCTGCTGCTGTTGCTGCCATTTGTTGCATCGGCCCCTCCTTCAACGTCCCCCCCCCCTCCCGTCGTTCTCCCTCTCGTGCTCCTGGTCCTTCCTCACCTCCTGCTTCCCCTCCGACCATTTCTCTTCCTCCTCATCCCCCTGCTCCGCCTCATCTCCTCCTCTTCCTCTTCCTCTTCGTCGGGCAAACATCAGCTTCTGGGCTGTTGCATTCCTCAACAACACGGACTCTTGTAGGGACGGGCGCGAAGCAGTCCCGAGAGAGCGAGTGCGAGACAGACATATCATGATCAAAACGCCAATGCATCTGCATCCAAAAACGAGGAAGGTATAGAGAGCGAAGAAACAAAGGCACATGATGCTACAGCAGACCGCGAGTAGGTAGATGCCTGGATGTGTCAAGGTTCGAGAGAGCGCGTTTCACGGGCGCTTGCCTTGAGAACATTCGGCGGCGCGTTGCAAACCGGGGGGTGGGCCCCCCCCCGACACTCGGCGCCGTCGACCGGAACCAGGGTGATGCCCCTCCCCCTGACCCCCCCTTCCCGAACCCCCCTCCGTCCCCTCCCAGGGAGGGGTGGAAGGTTTCCAACCCCGGCGCCCCCCCACTCGGCGCCGGCGCTGGCGCCCGCGCTGGCGGCCGCCAGCAGCGCCGACGGCGAGGACGCAGCGACGATGGCCAGAGAGGGCCAAGGGGGAGGGGGGGGTCCAACACCCCCCCCCGCGCCAGCACCGCCGCCAGCACTAGCGGCAGCCAGCAGCGCCGACGGCGGGGGCGCAGCGACGATTACCAGAGAGAAGCCAGAGGCCGCAGAGGGAACACGCAAATCGCCATATCGAGCCCTCGCCCCCCAGGAGCTACCGAGAGGCCCTGAGGAAGGTCCACGAGGCTTCACACATGCTTCTCAGACGCCCCCGAGACCCTTCTGACGAGACCTCAGAGGCATCATTCATTAGAACTCTGACCCAAAGCCAGAACACGGTGGCGGGAAGAGCCGAAGGCCACGCCACCACCCACCACACCACCACAACCACAGCCGCCACCACCAAACACCACAATCCACCACAACCAACACAATCCATTACCACCACCACAACCACCACCACCACCACAAATCACAACACCATCACCACCAAAACCGCCACCACCACCAGCACCACCACAACACACAACAACCCACCACAACCACCACCACAACCCACCACACCATTACCACCACCATCACCACCACCGCCACAACCACAACCATCACCACAACCCACCACCACCACCACAAACCACCACACCACCACCACCACAACCACCACCACCACAACTACCCACCACCCACCACCCACCACCCACCACCATCACCAGCGCCGCTAACAGCAGCAGCAGCAGCAGCACCACCACCAACACCACAGCCCACCACCACCACCACCACAACCACCACGCAACCACCATCACCGCCACCACCACTACCTCAACCCACCACCACCACCACCACCAACCCACCACATAACCACCACCAGCACAACCACCACCACTACCACAACTCACCAACACAACCACCACCACCACAGCAACCCACCACCACTACCACCACCACCACCAATCTACCACACCACCACCACCGCCACAACCACCACTACCAGCAACACAACCCACCGACACCACCACCACAAACCACATCACCACCACCACCGCCACAACCACCACCGACACCACCTCCACAAACCACCGCCACCACCACCGCCACCACCACCACCACAAACCACAACACCACAACAACCACCACCGCCACAACCACCACCACGACCACCAAAACCCATCACCACCACCAAAACCACAAACTACCACCACACCACCACCAAACCACCACCAAACCACCACCACCATCACCACCACCCTCCAACACAACCACCTCCACCACAACAAACCACCACACCTCTAACCCACCACAACCACCATCACCGCCACCAACACCACCACAACAAACCACCACTATCACCACAACCACCACCACCACCATTACCACCACAACCCACCACAACCACCACAACAACCACCACCACAGCCCACCACCACCAACCGCCACCACCTCAGAGAACCCCCAAGAGACGCCCAAGAGGCACCCAGGAGGATGCACGAATGCCCTTCAGAGGCCCCCGAGAGCCCTCCGACGAGACCCCAAGAGGCATCCATTAGAACTCTGAGCCAAAACCAAGGTACGGTGGCGGAGCGTCGTCGTCGTCATCGTCGTCGCCGTCGTCCTCGTCAACGATCCCCGCCGCCGCCGCCCGCCGCCACCACCACCCCCACAACTACCAGCACCACATCCACAACCACCACGACAAACCACCACACCACCACCGCCGCCACCACCACCACCACTGTAACCCACCACCACCACCACAACTTCCACCACCACCACCAGATGCAACCGCACCACCACCACCACCGCCACCACAACCACCACTACAACCTGCCACCACAACCACCACAGCAACCACCACCTCCACCAACCACACCACCACCACCACCACCACCACTGCCACAACCACCACCACCACAGCCCACCACCACCACCGCCTCAGAGAGGCCCGAAGAGACGCCCAAGAGGCGCCCAGCAGGGTGCGCGAATGCCTTTCAGAGGCCCCCGAGAGCCCTCCGACGAGATTCCAAGAGGCATCCATTATTTGGACGCCCGAAATGGGTACGGAAAGAATGGGTACAATGCCCAACAACAAATGTTGTCCCAAACCAACAGCGGCCGCTGTTAGGCAGGCGGCCTTCTGTCTCGAATGGACACAGGCCGCGGCGGCGCGGACAGCGAGTCCTGTTCAAAATGAACAGGGACTGCTGTTGGGCATCGTACCCATTCTTTCCGTACCCATTTCGGGCGTCCAAACATTAGGACTCTGACCCAAAACCAAGGCACGGTGGCGGAGCGTCGCGTCGTCGTCGTCGTCGTCATCGTCGTCGTCCTCGTCGATGATCCCCGCGCCGCTCGCCGCCGCAGGCGCCGGCGCAAGCCCAGAAAAGGAAGTCTTCGTCCCCGCCGCCGCAGCCGCCGCGCCGCCGACGCAGGCGCCGGCCCGAGGAGAGGGGGAGAGGAGAAGTAGGGGAGGAGGGGGAGGGGAGGGGGGGAGGGTTCGAACCCCCCCCCCTCCATCCGGGAAGGGGGGGGGGGCTCTGGCTCCAACCCCCCCCCCGAGCGACCACAGAACGCGCGCGCTTTTTCCAAGGTTCCTTTCTCTTGACGTTCCAGCCCCCCTCTGTGCAGCGTGTGCGCGATAAGGTAGTTTCTCCACCACCTCCTCCTCCTCCTCCTCCTCCTCCTCCTCCCCCTGGCGGGTCCCGCGTTTCACTGCTCTCGCGGGCCTCCCCAACCCTGGGATGCCAGGTGTCGCAACAGTTGCAGCGGCGGCGGGCCAGATAGCGCGTGTAGTGGCGGTGGCGTGGGATGCCAGACATGGTAATTGATTGATTGATTAATTTGTTGATTGACTGAGAGAGAGGGAGGGAGAGAAAGAGAGCAAAGAGAGAGGGAGAGAGAGAGAGCAAGAGAGAGTGGAAGAGACAGAGAGAGAGAGGGAAAGAGGGGGGGGAGAGAGGATCGCGTGAGCGAGGTAAAGCATGAACGATAAGACAGGGGACGCGATTGCGCCTCCACACATGCGTAGGCGATAATCTGCTAAGGAGAACGTTATCCTTGCACGATTCTCGCCGAACATACTTCGAAGGATGGCGGTGACGGCGACGGGGGACGACGAAGGACGGCGGTGGCGACTAGACGAAGAACCATATAACTACATAAACACGTGTCAACATACGATCTGATTTCTTGGACCCGCGCTTGACACCCTGCACATGCCCCGAGGTTCGCACCAATGCACATGTCGCTTCTCGAGAAGGAAAGATGCAAAAGCAAAAGCTCTCGGACGACTATGCGGATTTCTTGGATCGTCGCTGGGCTCCCCTCCCTGGAGTGCGGAGCGCGCCAAGGGCGGCACTGGAGGCGCCGCCAGGAAGGCGCAGCGCATATCCAGGGAATCCGCGCCGACTTCCAAAAGCTTGTGCTGGTGACGCGTTTCTGCTTCTCCTCCGAGCGACGGCGAGCAGCAGGCTCAGGCGAAGATCGGGCAAGGAGGACGCTCCCCTCACCCGATACGTTCGCCAAGCGTGCAGTTGCCATGCTCCTGGAATTAAGTCGGGCGTGTCACCCTACAGGGGGATGTTGGACGAAACATAAAGCATAGTCAAAACATACCCCAAGATAGTCAAAACATGCTAAACAAAAAAACGTCCACAGGCTATTTTTTCTACTATGTTCCCTACCTAGGCTCTGCCTAGAAGGGTTCTTACTCTCTTAGCTTAAAGGGGCCGGGCAGTGGAAATCGCCCCGGGCGGTTCCCCCAGTCCCCTGGGAGCGGTTCCCCCGTCCCCTGGGAGCTTTAGCTTTAGCTTTAGCTTTAGCTTTAGCTTAGCTTTAGCTTAGCTTTAGCTTAGCTGTAGCTTAGCTTTAGCTTAGCGTTTCGCTTAGCTTTTCGCTTAGCGTTTAGCTTAGCTTTAGCTTAGCTGTAGCTTAGCTGTAGCTTAGCTGAAGCTTAGCTTTAGCTTAGCTGTAACTTAGCTTTAGCTTAACTGTTACTCATCTTTAGTTTAGCTTTAGTTTAGCTTTAGCTTAACTTTAGCTTAGCTGTGGCTTAGCTTCAGCTTAGCTTTAGCTTAGCTTTAGCTTAGCTTTAGCTTAGCTTTAGCTTAGCGTTACTGTTACTACTAATGCTGCTTTCCTAGGGGTTCCAACTCCTAGGTAGAATCGCACTGGGATAATTTGAATGTTCCTCGTGTAGAGGGACAGGCCCGACTGAATCCTAGAACGCCAAACTGGCAACGAATTGTCTTATTGGTTTTATTCCGCCCGCGGCGAGCTTCGGTCACGAAGAGGTTCCCCAACCCAAGCACAAGGAGCGACCCGAAGACCAGAGCCCCTCCTGAGCTCACAGCGGTCCTTCTCTCAACGTCCCCGGGGACACAGTAAAGGTACCGATGTCGCTCCTCCCTGGACCTCTCCCTGGGTGCGTTCTGACCAAAATTTCGACGTGAATCCAGCCTTGGCGACGAGGGCCTCCCAGGAGACCCCAAACAGCGAAACCGATAAGGGTAGCTGTATCGGTACCTCGTCCTCCTCCGAATCTCAGGGTCTTGACTGCACACTGTACTTCGACATGCTCTTAGAACAACAACAGTGTCCTGAGACTATGCTCTTAGAAAATGAAGTCGGCGTATGCAAACCACAGGACGCCTCGCCACTGCTTGACGGACGGCGGAGGACGGCGATCTGCAAGCCTTGGCGGTGGCCTGGCCGGCGGCCTCCCCGGCACCGAGGCCACGGCCCGCGCCGCCCGCTGGGCGCTGGTGGTGCGCGGGCGTCCCGCGGCGCGGCCCGGACAGGAGCCTGCCGCGTTCGGGCGGGGCCGGCAGGGGGGAGAGAGGTTCCTTCTCTCCCTCCCTTCCTTCCCTCCCCCTCTCTTCCCATCTATTCCTCCCTCTACAAAAACTGAATATGAATACTACTCTCCCTCTTCCCCTGATGACGGCCTGGGAGTATCCGACCCCCCCCGCGTACTGTTTTTTACACACAGGTTTCCCCGGAGTTGGGTTTTCGCCTGCATTTGTTTCCAAAATGCTGCTCTCGCTGAGGCGCTGGCCTCATTTTCGGGCCCCGCTCGTTCCGAATCGTGCTCCCGCTGCAGCGCTGGCCTCATTTCCGTGCTTCCGCTCGTTCCGAAGCGTGCTCCCGCTGCAGCGCTGGCCTCATTTCCGCGCTTCCGCTCGTTCCGAATCGTGCTCCCGCTGCAGCGCTGGCTACATTTCCCGTGCCATGCCACGGCATGCAATGCAATGCTAGGTTAATACTACGCTTTGCGGTGCTCTTCTACGCCATGCCATGCCGTGCCCTACCATGCATCGCGTACCCTTTCGGAATTATTGCCCTGCTCGACATCCGACTGTGCGAGTAGAGAGGGGATCTGCGCCATGGTAAGGGATGGGAGGGAGGGGTAGGATGTCAGATATGACGCGAGCGCACCTAGCTTGCCCCTCCCCCCTCTCCTCCCCTCCCCTCCCCTCCCCTCCCCTCCCCTCCCCTCCCCTCTGGGGGGGAGAGGGGAGGGAAGGGAAGGCTGGCGGGGGGGAGAGGGGAGTGGGGGGCTGCGGGGTGGAGCAGCAAACGGCATGAACAGAAACTTTCGGAGGTCCGCGCGGATTTCCCGGAGCCGCGCTGGACTCCCTGGCGGCGGCGCCTCCGGCACCGCCAGAGCGTATGCTTATGACGCCTTGTTGTCTCTCCTCCGAGCATCAGGCTTTGGCGAGATCTGGCAAGACGCTTTCCGTACCCAAACCACTCGCCAAGCATGGAATCACCATGCCGCTGGGGCGCCGAATAAGCAACGAAGGATTTGTTCTGCCCATGGCGAACCTCAGTCACGAAGAGGTTCCCCAACCGAAGCCCACGGAGCGACCCAAAAACCAGAGCCCCTCCTGAGCCCAAAACGGTCCTTATCGAGCGCCGTCCAAGTCGCCGAACACCGGCGAGGGAACGCGACGGCGGCCGCGGCCGAGGACGGGTGACGAATGATCGCCACGCACCCGTACCCATAGGGGGGGACGGCATGAACTCTGGGCGCGTGCTGTCGGATGTGGGTCCACGCTCGAACGGGAGCCCCCCAGCCCGCACCCATAGCCCATAGCCAGTCCTTCCTCCCCCGACCTCCCTATGGCGCGGGCGCGCCATAGGGAGGTCTCTGGCCGCGGGCGCTCTCCTGCCGCCGGGAGGGGGGGGGCCTCGGGGGCGCGCGCGCGACATGCTGCCAGGCACCGGAGCAGGAGCAGGAGGAGGCGGAGGAGGCGGAGGCGGAGGCGGAGGCGGAGGCGGAGGCGGAGGCGGAGGAGGAGGTGGAGGAGGGGGAGGAGGAGGAGGAGGAGGAGGAGGAGGAGGAGGAGAAACGCGCTCCCTGAGGCGCGCCGAGTTCGTCCGCCAGCCAGGCGATCAGCCGAGCCACCCTTCGTCAGTGTGTCAGAGCCCTCACTCCAGCACACCTCGTCGCCGACAGGCGCAGCCTACCCTCCAGGAGTTTGACCCCTCGAGGGTGACAAAATAAATCACGAGCGCGTAAATTATTGAAACTAGTAAGCACTAGGTCAGCAGCGACAGCAGTGGCATGAAATTCGTCAGTGCAAGAATGCTCCCTAGAGTACATATGAACGCACGCCCTAGGGTCACAATTACCCCATCAGTCAGGAAGAGAGGGGAAGAGACGCTTCACTACAGGAGTAACATGAGGGCACGAAAAGTAACGTAGGATATCATCAACACCACTACATCCGAAGCGATAACCTTTGCACGCTTGACGATAACGACGAGACGTATTCATAGCTACTTAGACCAATGAAGCAGGGGTATGTGTGACCCAGCATGCACAAACGTAGAATAGCCACAAATATCTGGTCGGGCGCGATGTGCACGTTCCAGTACACGAGACGGGCACCTATCTTCTCCTGCACGGATTCAAACGGGAAAAGACCGTGGAAGACTTTTTTGAGTTCTCTCTGGAGCTTCGGACACTCGAGAACACCATCTTCCCACGGGCGATTCTGGATATTCCGAGGGAGACTCCAGACATAATGTTACAAATCAATCATCTGCTTCAGGGGGGGGCGTTGATAAAAGTGGTTGAACCTCCATCCCAAGATAAGGTCATCCCCCGCCAGTACCTCCTCCAGATCCGATTAACAGCCCCAAAAGATCGGAGACCTCGCGGCATTCCTGTATAGAGCGGCTCGCCCTTCGTGCCACATGGAGCGAGCGCTCCAGCTGTTGCTGGAGATTTTCTTAAACTGGAACAGGACCCCATTCGGGATAGCATATCTCGGGCATGCTGTCAGGATCTGGAGGCCGCCCCTCTCGGCGCCAGTAGCTTCTTCTTTTTTTGTTTTTTTTTTGGGGGGGGCAAAGGAAGAGGCGACGAACGTGAGGGCGGAGATGGCGATGGAATTACGAGACATAATAGCCTGATGGAGGCCTGCAGCGAGAGAGCGGATGAAACGGCAGCGCTCGAGATACTTGGCGATCGGACTAGTCCAGGAGCGCGCGATACCTCTGTGGCCCAGATGAATGCCTAAATACTTGCCCCAATTCTGAATAGCAAACTTCCGAGCGCGAATTCCCTGGTCCTGGGATCTCCTCAACTCCTCCTCTCGGTCGATCTCCTGCCTATAGAAGACTACGACGCACTCGGCAAGGTTCGTCGCGAGGCCTGTGACCAGCGATGCCCGCACCAGAATACGCATCAGCACTGGCAGGGCTCTGTGCAAGTCCTGCGAGAAGAAGGCCATGTCGTCAGCGAACGCGCTCGGCGAGTGCTGAGGGGTCGGCAGGTCTGGTCTGAATCTGGCGCAGCACTGGATCGAGACGAAGGACAAAGGACGAAACTACTTCGTGACACCGGGCACCCCTGACGAACCCCACGGCCGATCTCGGGCCCAGGGAACCGACGGCCTCCCAGGAGCATGTCCACGGAGATTTTGCCATAGAGAGCCTTTACCGAATTCAAGAAAAAGTCTGGAAACCCCATGTTAGCCAACGCGAACTCGATCCAAAAGAGCAGTAAACTCGGGAAGGCCGCCCCCGCATCCAGGAGGACGGAGCCGGCGCTGCACTGCAAGATGCCATATCGCAGCATGTTGTCCTCAAGCTTCAAACTGTTGTCAGACATCAGGCGCGCGCGGACAAAGCCGTTCTGGGCCTCACTGGCGCCTAACTCGCACTGGTCGGAGACGGCCTTGTTCAGCGCCGAGCCTATGATCTTTGCACCCGTGTTACTTAATGTTATCGGGCGAACATCATCGGGGGTGCGCCAGAAGCTGTTCACATCTTCTTGGTGGGAGCCTTTCGGGATAAATACCATCAAGCCGCTGTTGAAGTCCTCGGCGAGTGGGGCGCCTGTCTGGGAGTAACAGTAGAGATCATATAAAGCGTCAATACCAAATTCACCTCCATATTTCCAAGCAGAGTAGCACAGCCCGTCTGGGCCAGGAGCACAATCCCGAAAGCGGCTGATCATGTGGCGGAAACGTTCCCGAGAGAGCTGCCATTCGACAGCAGGGTGGACGGGCTGGGTGAACGGGGCAAGCTCGGCGGCGACCTCGTGAGAGGCCCCATCAGCGCTATGTACTCTGGCCCAGCGGTGGCGAAGCGCATCCGCGCCTACTTCAAGCGAAGGGAAACGAGACCCACCAGGCGCGCGGATTCCAGCGAGGGCCATCTTGCGATTCCGCGGGGCCCAGGATTGGACGAATCTTTGAATCTTGGCCAGCCGAGCATCTCGAAAACGCTCGGGAACAAAATCCTGCATCAACTCCTTCCTTTCTTCCTCGAGACCTCCTCTAGCCACCTCCCCCATGTGTTGATGAGACCCGTGCCGATCGATCCACGCGCAGGTGCCCCTATCTATGAACGAGGCGAGCTTCGGCAATATCTCCAAGGCTGGCTTCATCACGTGCTCGCGTCTGCTGTGCATGGCGCGATTGATGGTAAATCGCCATGACAAATGCTGGGCGGCAGTCTCAGGAGGAAAGTGCTTAGTCTGCTGACGAATACGAGTAGCTCCAAGATACCTACATTCTTTAATTTCTTCTACTCTGGTAGGGGGGCCCTCGGAGAAATCGGCATCAGCGATGATATGTTGAAGAGCAGCAGGGTACCAACGATGCTTAGAGATCCAGGAGGGAAAAGTAGGATCTGAAGACGGACCAGAGAGCCCCAGGGAGAGGAAGACGGGGCAGTGATCACTGGGGGCCCGAAGATCACATACATCCTAGACTGTACATGTTTGTGGATGATAGTCACGCATGTCGGCTGCGTATGAGTTTGTGAAGATTATGTCGATGCGGGTTAACTCTTTGACGGCCCGTATGCCATTGTTTTCGGTCGTGATCCTGTGGGAGGGGGGGGGGAGCTGCTCTACCTCCAGCATGTCGGGGAACAAGAGGCGCGCGAGGCCGTCGATGGCCATCTGGTGGATCCCGCCACTCACATACTGAATGCCCTCGCCTGGAGCCGAGAAGTTGAAATCGCCAAGCAGAAACGTCTGTGCGCACGCATTCCGTGGCAATGACCAGGAGCGACCTCAAATGGTCGAATGTCCCGAAGTTTGGCCAGGGCGACGGGATGGATGACCAGGGGCATCCCCGCCCGAATGTGCGAGTGGGGGTCGAATGAGCCGCAGGTACCATGATGAGGTAACTCATGTTTGATGGCGACGAGGCCCCCTTCGTGCCCATGAGTTTCTTGGATCCCAACAGTGCCAGGATATTCACAAAACGAGTGGAGTCGAGAGTGTTTACCAGCAATAGTTTCACGATGAACATGCGTAGACCCAAAGAGCCCTTGAGAATTCCAAGTAGTGACCTTGAGGCCTGAAGATCCATCGAGCCCTGAGAGGGGAAGGAGACTGGTGGGGGACCCGCAAATACTACTATATCAGATTCAGAGGAGGAGGGCGCAGAGGAATAGGAAGAACTGCTGTGCTGCTGACTAAAATTCAGACCACCTCCCGACTGGGCCACAGGGGGCCCGATCCCCAAGTCGGGAAGATCATTGTAAATCTCTACAAAACTAGACGGTGGCAAGGCTGGCTCCTAGATGAAGCCGTCAGCGGAGGTGTCCGTCGCGACTTGGATGAGCTTGTTGGCGTCGTCGATGTTGATCCCCCACTCCTGGAGGTTGTCTATGTGCGGCTGGATGCTGTACTGTTTGTCGCTCTCCTCAATCGTTTGGAAGAGCACCCAATGGTCGTCCACGCTAGTGTCGATTATGCAGAACTCACCGCGAGCTCCGTTGACCCCGAGCTTGTTGGAGTCGGGCGTCCACTTTCCAATGATCTGCAGCTTGCTAAGGACGTGGGGCCATAGACGAGACAGCGTTCGCTGACGAAGCCGTGCTTGAAGTGGCATACCTGGCCGAACGCGGAGAGGTACCATTCTTTTTGTGCGAGGATCAAACCATCCAGGTAGGTGTTCACCGGCCCAAGCGCGCAAGTTCTTTGCGTGCTGGTCATTCTCGCAATGGGTGCTGTACGACATAGATACTTTGTGAAACTTTGCGGGTACCTCCGTGCCAAGGGTCGGCTCGGTCTCCGCGAGCTTCTGCTTGACTGCCTCGAAATGGTTGCGACGATGGCTCTCTAGAACAGCACGTGGGAATCCCCCAACCCATATTCGACAAGGGTCGATCTCGTCATGACTCGCATTGGGCGGAAGGGGACCAGCCTCTGCGCGCCTCATCTTAACTCTTGAGGCTGATGAAGATGCCGTGGAAATAGTAGACGCTGGCGGAGAGAGGGAGTTGAGCTGCTTCTAGAGCGAAGCGACCTTCCCATCGATCATGGCCTGAACCCTGCTGAACTTCTCGGGGTCCTCCATCTGCTCGTCGGAAGATTCATGGTGTGTGCGATGTTCCTCTATGCGCTGCTCGAGGCCATGGAATCGATTCTCCCATGCAGTGCTGATATTCGTGATCATGGACTGCATGTCCTCGTACGTCTTGGTTTGCGCCTCGCTCAAGGCCCCGATGGATGTCTCCATTGCCGCAGCTCGATTCTGGATCGCGGCGCGCATGGTGGATGACTCAGATGACAACTGCGCCGATTGGTTGTGTACCGCTGCCGTGAGCGCCTGTAGCGCAGCAGCGTCTGCCATGGCGAGAGAGACAGCGAAATTATTCTGATTCAGAGGGCAAAATGCTCGCGAGAATCCTTCCTCCACCCTGGGCAGGGCCACTGAACGGAGGGAACCCAACGTGGTCAATCTGGACCAACCTCGAGAGATGTATTACTTGAGCCAAAATGGTTACGGAAGAGGAGGAGGAGGAGGAGGAGGAGGAGGAGGAGGACGAGGAGGAGGAGGAGGAGGGGGAGCAGGGTATGGGTGTGCGTTGTTCGTTCGTCGACAGGGGGGGAGGGCGCGGCCGAAGGCGAAGGGACCGCCGCGCGGCAGCGCAGGCGGGCCAGACCGACCGCCGCGCGGGCCCGCGGCGGGCGGCCCACGGGGAGCCAGGAAGGGAGGGAGGGAGGGAGGAGGGACGACCGATTCGACGGAGGGAGGGGGGAGAAGGGAGGGAGGGGAAGGGAGGGAGGGGGAGGGAGAGAGGAGGGAGCAGGGAGGGAGGAGGGAGGGACGACCGATTCGACGGAGGAGGGAGGAGGGAGGAGGGACTCCCCGGGCGGGAAAGATACTCCTGCCTCTGGGGGTTATGTGGTCCACAGGGGAGAAGGAGCCTCCTCCCCGCTCCTGGATGGGGGGAGGAAGACCTCCTTGGGGGGGCAGGGTGCGGAGGAGGAAAACGGACGATGTGGCACCTTCTATGGGCCCCCTGGAGGGCTGGCCATGGCTTATGGCCGGGGGCGCGGTGCAGGTGCGTGGGTCAGTCTTGCGCAGGCTGGCCTGGGCTTGGGCGGTAGAGGGGCAGGGCCCCTCTTTTTGAATTTCCTGGCTAGAGGGAGGAGCGATTGTAGAAACATCAACTTTCGGAGCTCCGCGCGGATTTCTTGGGATCGGCGCTGGACCCCCCTCCCTGGCGCGCGGAGCGCGCCAAGGGCGGCGCCAGAAACGCAGCCAGGGGTCCCAACGCCGATCCGAAAAATACGCGCAGAGCGTCGAACACGTATGTTTATACATCTTTGCGTGTTCTTCGACTAGGGATCCACGCTCCAAAGGCTGCGGCTCCGCAGAAGAAGGCCCGCGCTTTCACCGCAAAGATGCTGCGCCAGGCTCGCCCTCCCGAAGAAACGGCCACTGCTGAACTCTGGAATGCGACGGCCCCTTGTAAACTGTAGTTCGTCTACCCGACCAGCCATAACTGGGGGAGCTGTGGTCCTCCCCCCCCCGGGGGAACCCGTCGCACCGACGATCTCTCCAGAGGGGGTGTCGAAATCGATGGGTCCCCCAGGGGGGTAAGGACCACAGCTCCCCCAGTTGTGGCTGGCCTGTCTGCGCTCCCAGGGCGGCGGCCACTCGTACGGTACGGTACGGAGGATCCACGCTCCCAAGGCGGTAATCCCTGGCAAAGCATTATCCGACATGACCCACTGAGTTTCTGCGCGGCCAAGAGCCCGCAAGAGTGCCAAACATCAAGCCGAAGGCGCCATTAGGCTCCAGCGGAGCAGCGCGCCAGTAGGCTCCAAGAGAGCAGCAAGAAGGCCCAGATAATGCTCTGAGAGGGCCCAGGGTAGATCCAATGGAATCCAAAAAGGCATCAACATCGACCCAGAAGACCCAGAAGAGAGGCTGCTCTTGGACGGCCAGGATACAATCCCGAGAGGGCCAGACTAGCACTCAGGACCAACTTGCACAGCTGGAAAAGGATAGCGACGACGGCAACGATGCTCCCTTCGCTACCTGGTACAGGGGGACTGGCGGCAGTGGCCGAAGGTCTTCAGATCAATGGGATTACGCACCGCTGTGCCGTGGCATTGTGTATGATCTGCTGACGCAGGCGTCCCCGTGCGGTGTTGCTTGACCGGCCTGTGTGCGTACTCGATGTGCAAGTCCAGCTCAGGGTTGGAGGAAGTGGCGCTGGTGATTGCACTTGGAGGAAGAGAAAATGGCACAACCATCAACTTTCGGAGCTCGGCGCGGATTGCGTGGATCGGCGCTGAACCAGCCCTGGCGCGAGGAGCGGGCCAGGGGCGGAACCTGAAGCTCCGCCAGAGGGGCCCAGCGCCGATCCAGCCTGGAGCTCCGAACGTTCATATGTTCATGCAGTGTTTTGCTTCTCGAAGGAAGGTGCGCTGGCGCGTGTATCGGCGTGGTTGCCGATATCGCTGCCGCTGTTGCTAGGACGGGGATGATAACATGATAAAGTTGGCTCAAGATACATTCCAAGATTTCCAGAGTATCCGGCGGCCCTCGTGTCTGCAGCACGTGTGGTACATGGGGGAATCATGGAACCCCCAGAAATGCTGAACATCTTGGAACATCACATTCTCATGACCCCTTACTCCTCCGAGTTGCTGCCGCTGCTGACGATCTTATTTTGCTCAACCAAACTAGGCGCAGAAACTCTGGGTCGCGGCGACCGATCAACCGCTCGGCTGCTGGCGGAACCGCCACAGCCGCCCTCACTTCATCTTCGCCTTCCTGCAGGGTGCACATTATCCTCCTCATCGTCCACCTCCTCCTCCTCCTCCTCCTCATCATCATCATCATCATCATCAGCATCATCATCATCATCATCATCATCATCATCAGCATAATTGTCCTCATTATCATCCTCATCCTCATCCTCTTCCTCCTCCTCATCATCATCAGCATCAGCAGCATCATCATCAACATCACCATCATAATCATCATCGTCATACTCATAATCATAAACATCATCATCATCATCATAATCAGCATCATCATCATCAGCATCATCATCATCATCATAATCATCAGCATCATCATCATCATCAGCATCATTATCATTTGCCTCCTCCTTCTTCTCGTATCATTTGTAGATTTGTCGTCGTCCTCCTCCTCCTCCTCCTCCTTCAGAGGAATAGCACACACACAACATAACAATCACATGTCAAAAATTCTGCACGGATGTCTTGGATCCGCGCTGGGCCCCCTCCCTGGCGCGCGGAGCGAGCCAGGGGCAGCGCCACAGGCGCCGCAAGGGGTGACTAGAGACGATCCCAGAAATCCCCTCGGACCCTCGTCAACTTATGTTTATGCTGTGTGTTACTCGATCCGCTTCCTCGTCTTCCAGGATAGGGCATCGGCCCAAGGGTCACCGAAACGTAGTTACCCCAATGCCGAGTGTCCCTTGAAAGTGCCCACAAGGCTCCCTCCGCGAGGCGCCCCAAACAAGTGCCTGGAGCACAACTCATCCTGGACTCCTGGACCATGCCCCTTCCTCCTTTATCCCCCCCCACCCCCGGAAGCTTCCAGGAGCCTCTGCAACCTCTAGGCGCCGCTGCAAGGCAGCCCGAACCCTCACACTCCTCCCCCCAGCGCGCCCCGTGCCTTAAGACCTTCGAGTCGCCACAACTTGGACCCCTCGAGCCCTTTTCTGGGGCATGCTGTCCTTGGGACTTTACCTGGCGGCCCCAGGGCCTGGAGCTGGCGTTCGAGCGCCAGAAACCAGACAACCACCGGCGCACCAGATTGTCTGTGTCCTGCTCCTGCTCGTCCTCCTGCTCCTGCTCCTGCTCCTCCTCCTCCTGCTCCTCCTCCTCTTTCTCATTCTCCTTCTTAAGAACAGAAGCACATAGAAACATACTTTTTCAGAGGTCCGCGCAGATTTCTTGGATGGGCTCCCCTCCCTGGCGCGCGAAGCGAGCCAGGGGCGGCGCCAGAGGCACCACCAACAAGAGTGCCAGCGCATATCCAAGACATCCGTGCGGAGCTCCGACAATTACTGTGTATGCCATGTTTTCTTAGTCGACTCATTCTGGTGCGCCCCGCTGGTTGCTCCCCCACACTGCACTTCCCAAGGCTACCCAGACCTCTGGACGAGCGCCACCGCACTGCACCCCACCGCGCCTCCTAGACCTATTTGGCGGACTGCTGTCTCCGATCCGTGCAACCGCTTCTCCAGGGCTTTGAGTGTTTATCATCTCACGGTCCCAGGTCCTGGGGCCCAGAAACGACATCCAGGGGACTGAAGAAGCTCCATCCGCTGGAGTCGGGCGTGGACTAACCTGACTCAGCGCGAACCCAACACAACCGATTCAGAACAACCTGCGCTGCAATTATTTATTTAGCTTCTCAAGCCCGTTTCAGCCGCGATATGAGGCCACCTCCAGGGCCGTGAGCGGCCCCCAAACCAAGCTCAACCAAAATCTGGCTTTGTAAGATCCTGCAGGATCCGGCGCTCTGGTTGAGCCCCGTTCGCGATGAAGCCCATTTTCTGCCAGCTGATGGAACTCGACACTAAAAGGTACCGATGCCCCTACTCGCAAGACCTCTCCCGAAGGTGCGTCCTAACCAAGATTTCGAGGCGAATCCAGCCGTGGCGACGAGGGCCTCGCAGGAGGCCAAAGAAGGCGAAAAAGAGTGAAGGGTAACAATATGGGTACCCTAGATCAGATCGCCTAACTTCTCGCATCGCGCCCCGCGATACGCGGCGCACGGTTATCTTCGCGCCCTCGCGGTGAAGGGCAGCTCCCTGGCCGAGGGCGCGATCCGCAGATCGCGGTGATCTTCGCCACTGGGGGTGGCCTCGGTAGGAGAACAAGAGACGGCATGCGTAAACATACGCTGAGGTCCGCACAGAGCTCTTGGATCGGCGCTGGGCGCGCCAGGGGCGGCGCTGGAGGCGCCGCCAAGGGCCCAGCGCAGATCCAAGAAATCTGCGCGGACCTCCGACTGTTCATGTTTATGACAGTTATTGCTGTTGCCGTTGTTGCTGCTGTTGTAATTGTTGCTGCTGTTGTTGCTGTTGCTGTTGCTGCTGCTGCTGTTGTTGTTGTTGCTGTTGTTGCTGTTGCTGTTGCTGTTGCGGTTGCGGTTGCTGTTGCTGTTGTTGCTGCTGCTGGTGCTGTTGTTGTTGCTGTTGTTGCCTGTTGTTGTTGCTGTTGTTGTTGCTGTTGTTACTGGTGTTGTTGGTGGTGTTGGTGTTGTGGTTGTTGCTGCTGTTGTCGTCGTCGTCGTGGTTATTGTTATTGTTGTTGTTGTTGCTGTTGCTGTTGCTGTTGCTGCTGTTGCCGCTGTTGTTGTTGTTGTTGTGGTTGTTGTTGTTGTTGCTGCTGCTGTTGTTGTTTCGATGGGGAGACCTATAGGTGCCTTCCCCTCCTCCGAGATTTGCCGCCCGGCCGGTCTTCGACAACTTCTTCTCGGCCTTCTCCGCCTTCTTGGCCTCCTTCTCGGCCTGCACGCTCTGGTCAGCGCGAACCTGGGGGTCGCGCCGCGCCACGCCCAGCTGTACAGAGCATGCCCCCCCCCCGCCCTCCCCCCAGGCATCCGGCGACTCGGCGAGGAGGGGGGAGGGGGCAAGAGGAGGATCGAATCGAGGAGGAGGAGGAGGGATCGAGTATCGAGGATCGAGGGGGGGGAGCAGGAGGAGGATCGAGGGTCGAGAAGGGCCCCGCGGGGCGCCAGCTTCAGCACGACGAGGGCCCCCAGGCCGAAGAGGACGGCGAACACGACCAGCACGTACGTGAACGAGCCCTGGCCGCCGGCGGGAGAGCCTCCGGGGGGAGCGTGCGGGCGTGCAGGGGCGGGTCGAGTGGAACGGGGGGGGCGGCGGCGGCACAGTGGGGGAGGATCTCGAGGAGACTCGAGGATCTGAGGATCGAGGGCCGGGGTATGGACTCCAGCCCCCGATCCTGGATTCTCAACCCTCCGATCCTCGACCCCACACCCTCTCGATTCTCGATCCCCGATGGCCCATCCGATGGAGAATCGTGGCTCGAGGATCGAGGAGGCGGGGTCGAGGATCGGAGATCGGGGAACGGAAGGTCGGGCATCGAAGGAGGGCCGGCCGACTGGGCCAAGTTTGGGGAAGCTGCGCTCTGGACCCCCCCGCAGGGGAAGGCCGTCGCATCGGCGATCCGTCGAGTGCGGGGCACGACCTAAACGATGTTCTGCGGTCTCATGCTGTCTTCGTGTTCCGTTGTTTTGTGATCGTTCCGCCTGTGCCGTGCCACGAAAGCAGACCGAGAACGGCCGCCGCAAAGGCCAACGCACCGCTCAGGTCGAGCCCTGGTCGAGAGAGTGTTCAAGCCGATGGGTCCTCCAGGATTGGGGCAAGGACCAAAGCAGCCGCCGGCTGCGGCTGGTCTGGAGAGAGGCAGGGGACGAGGGGAGGGCGAGGGGATCGAGGGTCGAGGATCAAGGGATGGACAGAGGGGACGGGGGACGGGGGAAGGATCGAGGGAGAGTCTTGGGTCGCACGAAGGGGGGGCTAGCAAAGGGGGGGTTGGCGAATCAGCTCACGCAGCTGGGTTCATGGGCGCCTCCCGGCGGTGGAGGCGCCAATGTATTGAGGAGAGCGCCTGGCGGTGGGGCCGAAATGAACTGCATGTAGCAGGTTTCGCATGGAGTCATGAAGGGAGCATCGAGGTAGGGATAGAGGGAACACCGTGGAAAGTTCATCAGGAGGTATGACAGGGAGAGAGGACCGACAAGCCAGGTTCGAGCTGTTTGGGCGGAGGGGTGGAGGGAAAGAAGACGGAGGGATGGAGGGATTTCTGGCCAATCGGGAATAACCTCATGCGTTCCTGCGTCTCGGTTTTGTGAAACCGGGCAAGGCCAACGGGGGTCACCACCAGGGGGATCGCCCACTCCTCGAGGAGGCCCCCTCGAGACCCACGAGCCCCCCGCAAAACCCCCCGAAACGCCCACAACCTTCCAAAAACCTCCCCGACCCTGGATCCCTGGAGCAAGCCGCTTGCGGTGGGCGGGATTCGGGCCTCTTTTTACCTGGGTCAATGCAAAACCAGGATCCTAGAAGACCCTGCAAGATCCTGCACCCCTGGCTCTGCAGGATCGTACAAGAACCGGCGCTCTGGCTTACCAACGCCTCGAGGCTCCCGCGAGATTCTTCGTCCCCCGGCCCCAGGCTCCTGGGCAGAGGAAGAAGAAGGCGAAGAAGAATAATCATGCGAAGAAGCAGGAGACGAATATTACAAAGAAACACTGTACTACTAATAAGAAGAAGAAACAGTGGAGGAAGAGGAACACAACTACCAAAAACAAAACTACGAATAACAAACGTAATATAATATATCAATCATAATAGAACTATAATAAAGGGTGAGGACGGCACAACCCACACACAACCCCTAAACTCAGCGAGGACCCCCTGGATCACCATGTCGGGAATGGGGGTCCTTGCTTGGGGGCGGGGGTGGGTTGTGCCGTCCTCAGAGGGGGGCACAACACTTGGCAGATTGTAGGGTCCTGGCCATGATGCCTACATCCTCACCCCTTCTTGTTCATCCTGCTCGCCCGCCACCACCTCCTGTGCACGCATCTCCCATGCTCCGATTTGTTTTTTCTGTCATGACACGCGTCCGCGTATAGAGACACAAATCAGCGCAGTGGGGAGGGATGGGAGGGAATAGGATGTCAGATGAGGCGCGAGCGCACCTGGCTTGTCCCCACCCCCCTCCTGGACCCCGATGCGGCCAGGCCTGGGCCCTCGAGATGGCAGACGGCGCAGGCAGCTCAGGAGCGAGGGCAGAGAGCCACTGCCGCAGGGTGCCGAGGCAGTGGGCGCAGGCAGTGCAGCGCAGAGGGCACCAGGCAGGGACGCTGGAGCAGTGAGCAGAAGGAGAAGAGCAGAGGGTCACAAACGGCGAGCATATCCGTATCCGTATCCATATCCGTATCCATACCCCCAATATCGGCGGTGTCGCGTCTCAGGGGCCCGGCCTGCGAGGCCGCGGATACGGATATGCTTTTCGCCCACGAGAGGGTGCAGTGCAGAGATCAAGTGTTGAGAAAGAGGGGGGCATGGCAGGGGCAGAGAGCAGTGTCCGGACGACACCCACCCGAGCAGGGGCCCTGCAACTTGGCATCGCTCGGACGCCCATTTCCCTTGCACTATTCGGTTGCGCCCCCCTTTGTTCTTCAAGATTATCCTAGATCCTGGATGCTCCTAGATGGCCTCCCCGAGCAAAACGCAAACGTCGGAGCGATGCCAAGGGCAAGGCGGCGTGATGTCTAACACCCGTGGGGCTCTGGAGGCCTCCGCGGGGCTCGTGTTGTTAGAGGCCTCCCAAATGGGGTCGGAGTAGTCGGGGCCAGAGGATCGCACCGCATCGCCGATGCATCGCCGATGCATCCACGATGCACCGCCGGCGTCGGCGATGCTTTCGGCGACGTCGGCGTGGAGAGAATCGGGCTCCACGTCAAGTCGCATCGCCGATGCATCGGCCATGCGGCGTGATCCTCCGACCCCATCTGCTCGGACCCTTTCTGGGAGCCCTGGAATTGGCATCTGGTCCCCATGCGAGGGGCTTCGCGGGGGCCTCTCCCTCTCGGGGGGCCATCTTCGCGGAGGGGGGAGGGGTCAGGCCGGCTTGTCCTGGGGTCCGTCCCGATCTGCCTCTATACATCCCCTGTCCCGACATCTCACATGGAGATCGCTTTTGAGTGGACTGGAGGGCATGCTCGAAGCTTCGAAAGCTGAGATGCGGGATGGTGCGGAAGAGAAACACGAAGAAGAGCAGAGGGAGGTGAAGGGAAGAAGGAGAGGCAGGAGAGGAGGGAAGACACAGGGAACGAGGGAAACGTCAGGGCTGAACCTGACCGGTGTTTTTCGAATTTGCGGGTTGTTTTCGTTTTCCCTCGTTTTGTCTTCAATCCGCCTCTACCGCAAAACGAACTCGAAACGAAAACGGTCCACGAAATCGCCAAAACACCGTTTAGGTCAAGCCCTGGGAGGGGTGAAGGATGCTAGACGACGAGGCAGGGGCTGGAGGAGGATGGGCCTGCTGATCCCATCGGCGACGAGGAGGAGCTGCCCGCTCTCTCCTGCTGCTCCTTGATGATGCTCTCCAGCAGCTGCCACTGCCGCCTCGATGCCTGGTTCACCTGGCGTCCTCCTCTCGCCATCGCTCGGACGTCCATTCCCTGTTTTTTTTTGTCGGTGTCGCGCGTATTTTTTCGCCAAATGATCGAGGATGCTTCTCGATGGTCCTCGCCGGAGGGAAAATGCACACGTCCGAGCGATGCCAACACCTGCACTGCCTCCTGCTCATCCTGGGGGGCATCGTCACTCACCCTTTTGGAGGCGGCTGGGGATTCCGAGTTGGATGGGCCCCGAGGGAATCGGTCAAGGGGAGGACGATGTCAAATCCGTTCAAAATCGGTCCGCGGACCCCTCTCCCGGGGTCCATCTGGTGGAGTTCTTCGCCCCAGACTCGTTCGAACGGTCCTGGGACCTGAAAGCGGCCCCCCGGGGCCGAAAAAGGCCAAAGACTTTAACGAACCCAGAACCTCAGACTTTTTTCCCCCCCTTCCTGCTGGCCGGAACCAGTGTTGGGCCACCTCAGCCCCCCAGCCAGCTCTAAATCCCCCCCCTCCTACTCCTCCTCCTCCTCCTCCTTCTCCTCCTCCTCCTCCTCCTCCTCCTCCTCATCCTCTTCTTGCTTCTCCTCCTCCTTTTCTTCTTGCTCCTGCTCCTCCTCCTCCTCCTCCTCCTTATCCTCCTCCTCCTCGTTCCCCTTCACCCTCCCCCTCGCTCACCTGCTGCGGCCTGTCAGAGCGCTGACCGAAGATGTCGTTCTCCAGGGACTGCGTGTCGCTCGGGGTCACCTTGAGGCAGCTGTTTTATCAAGGGGGAGGCCTGTCCCCCCATGTAACGTCTGAGGCCTATCCTGGGCTTTGTGGTAAACGTGGGGGGTACCTCCCCGACGGGGGTCAACATCGCCTGGTCGTCGCGCCGTGACGGGGGTTGGAGCGCCTTCGGCGCGCGGTGGCTGCGCGCGACGTGGGTCGATGTGTGGCTGTCGGCGGGGGTGACGTCCCCCCCCCGGCGCTTATTAAGAAACGCGGAGTACCCCTGCAGACCAGATGTTTTAAACGCTGGTTGAGGTTCAGAATTCGAAAGATGTCTGCAGCCAAATGAACCCCAGCGGGGGGGGGCCGACACCCCCGTGCCGAGTGGACCCGCAAGGGCAAGGTTCGCAGTTGGTCGCAGACTGGGGAGAGCGGCGGGGTGAGGGCGGCAAGTGCTGCTGCGGCGTACCAGCACCGCAGGGCGCGCCCGATCTCAGCAAAACCACGCGGTCCCTGCCAGCAAGGCACTGTCCGCGGCCAGGGTGGTGCGCCGGACCCTGGCAGTATCAAGATAGCCTGAGGGCACCACACGTGCGCACGCCAGCATGCCAGACCCCGCCCGCATTGTGACAGCTCTGGAGCGCCGTGCTCCGCCACCGAGCCCCTGGCAATTTGAGGCGTGGTAGAATGCCAAAGGCTGTCTCATGTGATATCTGCGATGTTCCCACCCCCTTTCTCAGCAGGCTTTCACGTGCACCGCCCACCTTCCGATGGCATGATCCCTCAGAAGAACCGCGGAGAGTCTTATAAAAAACAACCCAGAACAAAGGGGAACTAAATGTTTCTCTGGCGACCTTATTGACGGACTGGGGCCCCGACAACGGAAACTAATGATTTCTTCACGCCGCCGCCGTTGACGACAACACCGACGACGACGAGAAGGAAGAGGATGAAGAGGAGGAGGAGCAGGAAAAGGAGGAGGAGGGGGAGAGGAGGAGGGAGGAGGGAGGAGGGACGGAGGGGGAGGGGTTTCTCGGGATCTCAGCGTCCTCCTCAGGGTTTCTCCCCTGAAGGCTCTTTTTTCCAAACCATCCTGTGGTGTTGGGTCCTCGTTTTGAAGAAACGGTGGCCCGCGTCTCCCCTCCTCCTCCTCTCCTCTCCTCTCCTCTCCTCTCCTGCTCTCCTCTCCTCCTCCTCCTCCTCCTCCTCTTCCTCCTCCTCCTCCTCCCCCTCCCACCATCATCACCGTCATCACCCATTTCGGCACACCCCTCACACGTTTCGTGGCCTCATAGGGCGCTCCACGTCCCAGTGGGTGTGCCCGCATGCGTCCCGCACACCCATTTCGGCACACCCTTCACACGCTTCGTGGCCCCATAGGGGGTTCCACCGAAGGTCCCAGTGGGTGTGCCCGCATGCGTCCCGCACATACATTTCGGCACACCCCTCACACGTTTCGTGGCCCCATAGGGAGCTCCACCGAAGGTCCCACTGGGTGTGCCCGCATGCGTCCCGCACACCCATTTTGGCACACCCTTCACACGTTTCGTGGCCCCATAGGGAGCTCCACCGAAGGTCCCAGTGGGTGTGCCCGCATGCGTCCCGCACACCCATTTCGGCCCACCCCTCACACGCTTCGTGGCCCCATAGGGAGCTCCACCGAAGGTCCCAGTGGGTGTGCCCGCATGCGTCCCGCACACCCATTTCGGCCCACCCTTTCACACGCTTCGTGGCCCTATAGGGAGCTCCACCGAAGGTCCCAGTGGGTGTACCCGCATGCGTCCCGCACACCCATTTTGGTACACCCTTCGCACGCTTCGTGGCCCCCTCGGGAGCTCCACCGAAGGTCCCAGAGGGTGTACCCGCATGCGTCCCGCACACCGGCACACCCTTCACACGCTTCGTGGCCCCACAGGGGGCTCCACCGAATGTCCCACTGGGTGTGCCCGCATGCGTCCCGCACACACATTTCGGCCCACCCCTCACACGTTTCGTGGCCCCATAGGGAGCTCCACCGAAGGTCCCAGTGGGTGTGCCCGCATGCGTCCCGCACACCTATTTTGGCACATCATTCACACGCTTCGTGGCCCCATAGGGAGCCCAACCGAAGGTCCCACTGGGTGTGCCCGCATGCGTCCCGCACACCCATTTCGGCACACCCCTCACACGTTTCGTGGCCCCATAGGGGGCTCCACCGAAGTTCTCGGTGGGTGTGCCCGCATGCGCCCCGCACACCCATTTCGGCACACCCCTCACACGTTTCGTGGCCCCATCGGGGGTTCCACCGAAGGTCCCAGTGGGTGTGCCCGCATGCGTCCTGCACACCCATTTCGGTACACCCTTCACACGCTTCGTGGCCCCATATGGGAGCTCAACCGAAGGTCCCAGTGGGTGTGCCCGCATGCGTCCCGCACGCCAGTTTCGGCACATCCCTCACGTTCCGCGGCCCCATAGGGAGCCCAACCGAAGGTCTCAGTGGGTGTGACCGCATGTGTCCCGCACACCCATTTCGGCACACCCCTCACACGTTTCGTGGCCCCATAGGGAGCTCCACTGAAGATCCTAGTGGGCGTGCCCACACCCATGTCGGCACACCCTTCATACGTTTTGTGGCCCCATAGGGAGCTCCACCGAAGGTCCCAGTGGGTGTGCCCGCATGCGTCCCGCACACCAATTTTGGCACACCCCTCGCACGTTTCGTGGCCCCATAGGAGCTCCGCCGAAGGTCTCAGTGGGTGTACCCGCATGCGTCCCGCACACCCATTTCGGCCCACCTATCACACGTTTCGTGGCCCCATAGGGAGCTCCACCGAAGGTCCTTGTGGGTGTGTAATTTCGGCACACCCATCACACGCTTCGTGGCCCCATAGGAGCGGCGCCGAAGGTCCCAGTGGCACAGTCCGCATGCGCCCCCGCCATTCATTTCGGCCCACCCCTCACACGCTTCGTGGCCCCATAGGGGCTCCGCCGAAGGCTCCACTGGAACAGTCCGCATGCGTCCCAGCCACTCATGTCGGCACACCCCTCACACGTTTCGTGGCCCCACAGGAGCTCCGCCGAAGGTCCCATTGGCACAGTCCGCAAGCGTCCCCGCCGATTATGTCGGCACACCCCTCACACGCTTCGTGGCCCTATAGGAGCTCCGCCGACGGCCCCGGTGGCACAGTCCGCATGCGCCTCCGCCACTCATGTCCGCCCACCATTCACACGTTTCGTGGCCCCATAGGAGCTCCGCCGAAGGTCCCAGTGGCACAGTCCGCATGCGCCCCCGCCAATCATTTCAGCGCACCCCTCACACGCTTCGTGGCCCCATAGGAGCTCCGCCGAAGGCCCCCGTGGCACAGTCCGCATGCGTTCCCGCCATTCATGTCGGCACACCCCTCACACGTTTCGTGGCCCCACAGGAGCTCCGCCGAAGGCCCCAGTGGCACAGTCCGCATGCGCTCCCGCCATTCATTTCGGCACACCCCTCACACGCTTCGTGGCCCCATAGGAACTCCACCGACGGTCCCCGTGGCGCAGTCTGCATGCGCCCCCGCCATTCATTTCGGCACACCCCTCACACGTTTCGTGGCCCCATAGGAGCTCCGCCGAAGGTCCCAGTGGCACAGTCCGCATGCGTCCCCGCCATTCATTTCGGCACACCCCTAACGCGCTTCGTGGCCCCATAGGGAACTCCACCGAAGGTCCCCGTGGCGCAGTCTGCGTGCGTCCCCCTTGCCCAGTACAGCGTTACGTAGCCCATATGGAGCCCCACCGCAGGTCCCAGCCAGCCAGCTCTCTTTGCTCCGCGCAGCGGGCGACCCGCGCGCGTCGCTGGGACCCCTCCTGGGCGACCTGCGCGCGTCGCGAGGGCTCCGCGCTGCTTTCTGCCCAGCGCCTCGCTCGCCCGTCGTCGCTCTGCCCAGCGGCAAAAGCCTTGCCCGCTATCAGCCAGCCAGCTAGCTCTCCTTGCTCCGCGCAGTGGACGACCCGCGCGCGTCGCTGGGACCCCCCCGGGGCGACCTGCGCGCGTCGCGGGGACTCCGCACTGCGCTGCGCCCACAACCTTGGACTTTTGAGTGCGCGGGCAAAGAGGGAGTAAAGGAAGGGGAGGAAGCGGGCGCGATCTTCGCGGGGGGGCGCGCCGACATTGGCGTCGCGGCGCGCGAGCGATGCCGTCGGGGAGTCCCGGGGAAGCTCCTTGCGGCGGCCACGCCCAGCGTCACGAGTACTCAGAGGCAGTCATTGTCAAACTATTGACATTCATACACAATTGCGCCACGCTTTGTCATATTCGCATTCACGCACGTAGACTCAATCACACGCAGATTCATTCACAGTCATACGCACGCGCGCAGATTCACCCGCGCTCAGTCTCCCTACGTACTCAGATCAATCGTTTTCGTTCGCGTTGTGTACCACGCCTTTCATGTCGGCACACCCCTAGCACGGTTCGTTGCCTCATAGGGATCGCCACCGAAAGAAAAAATGAATCACTAGGTACTCACACCTGCATACGGTTGGGTCCCTCGCCAGGCTAACTTTCTCAGAAAGGGTCATTGCACTGAAAACGTTCACCCGACGTTGTGAAGCTCTCAGAGGCTCATTGCTGTGAAACTCATTGATCTGAAAACTCTCGCTACTCTGAAACTCTCACTGATCTGAAACTCATTGTTCTGCAGCTCGTTGCTCTGGAACTCGTTGCTCTGAAACTCATTGGTCTAAAACTCATTGTTCGAGAACTTTCTCAAGGGGTCATTGCTCTGAAACTCTCACTCTGAAAGCTCAAGGGCTCACAACACTCTCACGACTACATGCCAAGGAGCTCTGTTCCTCGTCCTCCCCCTTCCCCTCCTCCTCCTCCTCCTCCTCCTCCATTTCCCCCTTCTCCTCCTCCTACTCCTCCTCCGATACTTCGATGATGATTGCAAACCGTCCTACGAACGAACTCGCAATTCCTTTCCGCGCAGTGTCCGATGGGAAAAATAACCGTCCACCATTATTCAGCGCGGCGCGCACTATTGGGAAACAAGTTCCTTCTCCTCCTCCTCCTC